CGAAGGCCGTCGCGACAGTTTCTCTCCCTCCATGCTGATGGATTCCCGGCCAAGTTTATACTTAACGTCGCATTGCCACAGTCCACCTCGCGGCAAGTGTACGGGCAGCGTTCAATCATGTAATCGCGCTTTCTCCTCTTACAGAAATGCCGAACCCGAACTATTCGATTTATAGACGATTCATCGAGCTCCACCCAATTCTCGATCCGGGAATTCCACCGGGCCATCACTCGCCGCGCCGCGCCGGCGAGAGATCGCGTTTGACGAACGCGATGATTCACCCTTCGCGTTTCTATACTTACATCGCCTATCTTATCGCCTATACTGTCGCTTGTTCGGGCAACGAATCGAGTGTCCAAACGAAATCGGAATACAGCCGTAATAGGAAGACGCACGTCGATAGCGACCTCCCGCAAGTGATCTGCCATTTGACGTTACCTTTTTCTTCATTATACCCAAGTTAGCTCCTTTCAGCCGTTAATCGTAGGTGCGACTCGGCGCGTTGCGACAGAGGCACGCTCGAACTGCTCGAAGGAGGCACGCGATTTCGCAATATCGATTTCTTACTTCTTTAGATCATCGATGTAACGCGTGAGGGTATCTTCTCCTACATCTCGGTAACCGCAACAAAATGTCTTCATCTCTTGAATTATTTATGAATTAATTACGCAGACGCTACTTGTGCATGGGATACCGATATGACATCCCAATTGAACAGATATGATAAAAATATTTCTGATTATCAGCAAATGATTCTTTTTAAGCGAAGATATTGAAGGAATTATACATCGCGCTTTTTTTCACAATTTTTAGATCTATATATATTTTTGCAGTTAAGCTATGTCTTTTAAGATTCTATTAAAATCCGCTTAAAATTGACTTTAAAGGATATCAGATAGTCGCTGATTTTTTTCAAATTTAATAGTTATTTAATTGTTATTCTGTAACGTGTTAAAAGCTTTTTTGTTAATTATACGGAAATTATGAACCTTTTGACACTTTTATTTAATTTGAAACAAGAGTCACTTAATAAGTCTGAGTCTAACAATAAGTCTGATGATGAAAGAATATGTAAAAGAAGACATTCGACATTTCCGAATCCGACATTTCTTTATGGGCCGCTAATGATGGACGCAGACAGGTCTTCGTTCACACTTGTGATTTACCGGAGAAAGCACACCAGCATCAGGATTTAAGAAAAGTCCCGGTATGCCGATTACGGCCTAGTGTGGTTCTTCACTTTGGAGTTATGCTAACTGTTACGTGATATCACGTGACAGACAGCTTTCATAATCGTTCGATAGCGATCCAGCCCATCGGCAGGCCCGGGCATGCATCTTCATCACGCATGTTAAACAAAGTCGACGCGCATTCTACGTGCATGGCGAATCAAACGTGTGCGGAAGGCATATTATCGGTCGCGCGATAATTGAGACGCTCTTTTGCGAATCACGCGTTCATGAATGAAAAATCCTCGCCCATTGATGACGACATCGCGGACCGACGCACGCGGCGACGCCTACGGAGACAATGGACCGCTTTCACATCCAGCATCTTCATGCCGTTACCCCAATTTCCCCGGCTCCCGTTGCCCAGCGTTTGTTCGGCCGTGTTCGCGCGCGTGAAAGTTACATTCCGAAAATATACGTCGAAAATTTTATGTCGTACGAATGACCACTGTTTGCTTCGAGCATTGTTTTCGCGATAAAACGTCGCGCTTGTTATTCGGCAGCGATTATTATCGGCGTAACTGCGCAAATGGAAAATGCGCCAAATGGACCGTTAATAATAATGGGCATTAGGCTAAGTTGTAGGCTGGTGCGGAACGTTTCACGCTGGTTGCCCGCGCTCGTTTTTCTATTTTTTTTTTCCTGCGAATTTGTGATTTCCTCCGGCGTTAGCCTTGACGTCGGATACACGCTCGCGGGAGACCGGTAAAAGTCAGATGCAGTGAACTTGCCTGTTGCCGCTACGGCTAGTTATCCAGGAATGTAATGAGCGGGGGGGGGGATATATACGTGCACCAGTGCTTGGTAATCAGACACGCATGGACACGCATTAAACACGATTGCTCAACGTTGCATATCCTCCTGACGAAAAAAAATGGCGGCCCACATCGTTTTAAAAATAAAACATCGATACGACATCCTGGACCATGGGATTGTCTCGAAATATCGACGACTTCATTATACAACGACTTCATTATACAGCAGCGGTGCATTTACGCTTATAGAAATTCACATCAAGTTGTCTGTAGCATTTTAATGAGGTTACGTAAGATTGCGAGGAGATTTTTTGCGTGTCTGTGCGTATTTTATACATATGGCAATGTTATTGGGTCACATCACATGGGAAGAGTGCAAGTTTAGGGCCTGTTCAACTTAATGCTGTCTAAGAACAATCACTCCGACGTGAGCGAAAGGATTCGAGTCAGGGTTACGTTCAGCATTTTTTTTTTCTCGTTTGCAGTCGCAAACTAGCAACTGCACTTATATAGCTTATGTAAAAGCTTATTAACAAGATGATTATAGACGACATTCTAGCGCGAGCACAAGTAAGCCGTAAGAAAAGTTGCTTTCCAGGGTCAAACAAGTTATCACAGTTGTGCACGCAAATCGGGTTAACGACACGGATTGTTTTAGCAGGATTGAAAGGTTGCAATAAAAAAATGGTGATTTGTGTCAACGAGCGTTAAGTATTGCGATACGCCGCGCTCGCTCAAGAAATCGGTGCAACATAATTAAGCTAATTTTCAGGTTCTCGTAGGCCGGATTCACAAGGTTGCCGGTCGCCGGCAGTCATGTATTACGTCATACATACTTCGGTGCAGGTTGCGAGTGTTGTTATTGGCGCGGTTACGATAAATTAAACGTTGCATTTAGGCGTTAGATTTGTCTGCGTTAGAAAACAAAAGTGTTCCAACCGCTTATGGTACCTATAACATATACGCGATTATGGCCTATGACATATACGATTATATTATTTAGTTTCATCATCGTCTCCTTTAAATTTTCTCTTAATCTGCAATTCAAATTTCATACTAGTTCCGGTGTGCCAAACATTTACATCGGTCGTATATTTATAGTAGATTATATAACAGACTCACAATGTAGCAGATTAAAATTTAAATTAATTTTTTTTTAGAAAGGAATTATTTTTTTATAACATGTTTATAATTTTTTATTCCGCGTTATTGATGCCGTTCTTGCTATTCATTCGTTATACGTGCGCATAAATGCGATCGCGTAACATATTACCAAAAAAACATGTTTACCACAGAAAAGAACAGGCTTTTGTGTAATAAACTATTAAATTTAGACTACCTCGATTACATAAAAGATTCCATTTTGGTATAATGGAATCCGGCTATATATAGTCGCGTCGACGATACCGAATGCCAAGAAATCGTGGAGCATTGATCGTGAGATTCGATGACGAAAGGTGACATCGTTGTGTACAGAGCGAAAGAATGCAGCCGTTCCTTCGTCTCCGAGCAAACGGCTGGGAAATACGAGGTGTTGGTAAGCACCTGCGTACCACCGCTATTATACGAAGACAGCATTAGACAGCTATAAGGAAAATAGGTTTGGTCAATAACTCCTTATGCAAATAATCGCGCTTGTATAGGCATAAACATTTAAAATAAAGATACGCATTTAATGGAATATATAATGGATGTGTACAGAGCGAAAGAATGCAGCCGTTCCTTCGCCTTCGCCTCCGAGCAAACCGCTGATAAGCTGTCCGATAAAGCTATAAAACTCTTGAGTTATCGTTATACATTCCTGTTGTAATTCCTCAAAATTTTTTTAATACACACGAGATTTTTTTCACACATTATTCACATTCGTGAAATCTAGCAACCCTTGAGTTCAAGCGCGGCTAGATTCCACGGATGTGAATAATGTGTAAAAAAAAAGATCTCGTATATGTGTTTAAAAAATGTTGAGAAATTATTACAGGAATATAATGATAACTCAGAGTTCTATAGTTTTATCGAACATCCATATATTCCATTAAATGTATGTGTATCTTTATTTTAAACGTTTATCCCCAAACATTCAAAGCTTACTATCAACATTAAGTGCTAATTAACGTTTTCCCCCCAGGTTTCTTTTCTTTACGATTGATTAGCGACATTTTCTTCGAGAGACGTATTTGTAGTCTATAAATATGAAACTCGTCGGCTTGAAATATGAATGGATAGCATTCATTATTAGCTCTCACGAAACGCATAATCAGAGAATCTTAATTAGCGCGTTCTTTTCCGAGCGGCAAGAACTATGACGCGACGGACGTGTTGCAAGAGTAGTAGTTGCTCGAATAGGGTCAGACTCGCGATAGTAGTAAATCATGCGTTGCGTCGGACATGTATCCGAGAGAGAAATATCTCCGCTCACATTAACGCGGTATATAATATTGCGCGTTAAATAATTTACTCATAACGTGTTTACTGCTGTCACACCTATAATACCGTTTTATCTTGTCAATCGATTTGTTTAACCCGACATTTTCTACGGCGATTTAACACAAATCTTGGACTAATGGAAAAAAAGAGTTAATAACAGGCTGTAAATCACAACTGTAAATCACAGCTATAAATACTGGCAACAGCAAATCAATACTTTTCATTTCTTTTCTTGCCGCTTTGCTGTTCTTGTTGGTTTTTATTAGATAAATATCTTAAATGTGTAATATTGATAATATTGATATATACATAAGAACATTGACGAATACTCTTTCCCCCCTTTTTAAAATTTAATTAAATAATAGTTAAATAAGTCATGTATAATATATATAAATATATATATTACAATTAAAAAGATCTACAATATATATACGAGGCGCTAAAAATATTCGATGGTGGTCGCGTTTGAAACTCGAACAGAGTAAATATTTGTTCTGATGATATTACGCAGTTAATCCTGATGGCATAATATAAGTTTATGGTCAATACTTGACGTAATACTTACGGAACTTTCTTTTTTTTCCATTTGCAGAACAAAACGAATACGCGGGACAGCAGGATAGGTCTCGCGAGAGCAACGAGCACTATGCAAACGCAGATGCCTGGATCTTTGCCCGATTACCAAATCGATCCTTATAGACTCGTAGAGGATGATATTAAGGATCTGTTCGACGAGATACAACTGGTAATGCTTTTTACTTTAATTTCATTAAAACTTCATAAGATTTACGCGCCTTCAGCCTGTATTCTTTCTTTTTCTCCTTGAAGAAGTTAAATCTGTAATAAATAAAATATCAATGTCTCAGCCGCATTATCCGCAGTATACTTATTATTTATCGATGTATTATAAAAAATGGAGTTGATTCTAGCGCTTTAGAGATTCCAACAATCCGTAAAGGATCAGAATTTTCTTTTATTAAGTTCTCACGAGAACCAACAACTGTAATAATTACGTAAAAACTAAAAAATTGCAATGAACGATCTGCTGTTAGTCGCGAAGAGCAATACACGAATTAGTTACATAAAAGAAGCCGAAGGCTATTAATCCTCATTCCTACGAGTAGGCGATTGTCATTCACATGGATAGCTTCGTGAAACTTTCGGGAAGTAACGGAACACCGCCTAGCAGCTATTTATGTAATTGACTTCATCGATATTACGTACCCTGGACTATTGTGAAATTGTGCCGGCCAACCTAAGACAAGCCCAGTGGTGCGGTAAAAAAAATGCATGCATAGAAAAAGAAATGTTAATTAGACAAAACTGCGTAATCGAGTCGCTTTGATTTCGCATAGCTCCGTTAGCTGCCATCAATCCAGAGTAAAGACATTTTTTCTAATTTCGCGATATAATCGATTTCTCCCAGAATTACATTCAAGATAGTATTCTTGTATTTTTTTAAATTGATTTTTAATTAAATATATATCTATATTTCATTTTTAATTATCTATATAAAAACATATTTATTTTTTAAGAAATGTTACTTCTAAAAATTGACAGTCAGATAAATTATTGTAAGAAGTGATATTTTGTAGACTTGAGAAAAATAGAAAGATAAATAACAAGGACTTTTTAATGGACTCGATTGGCCATCATCGTCAAGACATTTCGACCATGGGTTTTGGGTCCTTCTAAATTTATGTAAATAAATTATATATATATATATATATATATCTATATTTCATTTTTAATTATCTATATATATATATATATCTATATTTCATATATATATAAATTTGAAGAAATATTGATTTCGTGGATACTTTGTATTTTGTAGATACTTATCTTTTGATGAGCTTTTTTTCTCTTGTACTATGCTAATACTTCTGATTCGGTCATGAAATTTTGTTTAAAGTTTTAATTCTGTTACAGTTAAATCTTTAAATAAATTATAATTCCAAAATTTATACGCGCGTTGTATACATATATATGTATATCTTGCTAGTCCTAATCAGTGGGTGACGCTTGGATTGCCGCAACTCGGACATTTCATTTTCATTTCTTCAGTGACATAGAACAATTGTCAAGAAGCGCGTTTATAAATATTGATGAGGAGCCGTGCAATTTTCACGCGGCGGCGCCTCTGGTTAAGGCGCCCCGGCCCGCAAGCGAAAGCAGCTCGACTTCACGGTCTGCATATGGTCGAGAGGAGAGAACTTTTACTCACGATCGCCGTTCGCGTACGGCAAACGGCGTGAAATTTGCCCAATCTATATATGAAGACGCTTCTGTCGTATAACGTTTATTGTATTAAAACATGCGCAGAATCTCGCCATCTCAAACTGTCGCGAAATTTCATCAGCGAATTCTTAATTACCAAAATTGTCGGTATCTCAAGATAGAAATGATTTGACAAATTGTCGGCATTAGCGGACGTTGGCGAAACAAAAGAAATTGCCTTCAACGAACCGTCGTATAACTTCAACGTTGGCTCGTCACTTGATTTGAGGAAAGTTAGAGAAATCGGCTATTATCGCGGGCACAGTAACGATACTCGGGCGATATCGAACCTCCTCGGGTTCGCCTCAGGAATCGCGACTTCCGGTCGCGTGTGCGAAAAGCGACATTGATGCTATATAGCTCACCCGAAAGACGTGACGGATGCGCGCATTCTTTTCGGCTTTGGCCAAATTCCAGGAGGAACTTTCGACCGGTGTCGCACCTGGAATTCAAAGCAGCTCGTCTCGATCGATTCGTTGTCCTCCTTCGTTTATTGCAACGGAGACAGTTGATGTCTGACGCATATTTAATCAGCGATGCGCGGGACGGGTTCCGATACTGTCGAAAGGTCACAAGAGCGGCAAGTTTCTCTTCTGATTACGCACTCTGCTCGAATAGTTTTGAGTTGTAACCGATCGAAAAAAAAAAAAGAAGAGGACTAGTGAACTACGCTTCGGGAGAACGCGAGAAACTGGCAAAAACTTATATCCTCGCCTTATTTTAAGGCTGGGGGGGATTAAGAATTAATCCGAACTTTACTTTAAAGAGCTTGATGTATTGTTACAACGGGAGTCAGTTCGTGCGCGTAACTTATAAAAAAAATAATAAATTATGTAAGTTTCACGAAATTATTTCTGTACTCCTGCGGGTTATTAAACTTAATTTTAAAACTCTACAAATGATGTAACACGAAATCTGCTCACGTTCTTGCTCCATACTTTAGCTTATCCTATAGATAGTATAGATACATCAATAATCACGCGGTCGTCGACTTTGAGTTTTTTTTTACGCGGATCTTCGGATCTCCTTCTCTATATTTGGAAATATATGTTATTGCAGGAACTTATCAACAACACCTCGCAAGAAGAACTGCAATCCATAAGCACATACTACTTCGATGGCCAGGGGAAAGCGGTGCGCCCCATGTTCACCATACTCATGGCACGAGCTATTAATTATCACAAGGGAAGAAAGTAAGTGGGGACGCGTTTCTACAAACATTTTTTGAAATTTATCGAAGGAATCTTGATAAACATCTATAAATTACACGTCCGAAGCTATAAATATCTGGCAAAGACGTAATTCTCTGCTTTTTTCGATTTGAAAGAACATTAACATTTTTTAGAGAGGAAAGACTAGAAGGGGTTTCGCGTAGAAGACGATGTATTTGCGTCATTAAAACCCGAGAAAACAAAGTACCACATATAAATATATAAACTGCGTCAACGTATTTATCATATATCATTTGCTTCTATTTTATCAAATAACGAAGAATCGATTTTTTATATAACTGAGATTTTAACTCTAACTGAGCAACGTTAGAAAAAGTTCGTTAGAAAATTTGTGATTATGAGGGCCGCGGGTGAGAGAGTCTTTTTATTAACGCTACGCGTGGCACGGTGAATCTCCGCGCGTATGAAAACGTATGCTCACGACGTTTAGAAAGCATTAAAAGTGTCGACAAAGTGGTACGTTAGAGATATCTACGAAAGCGGCGGCCGTGCATCTTGTACGAGTATATACTACATATGAATGCATATGAATGGGGCGGCATCGTGAATGAGAAGCGCGTTAACGCGCGTCGTAACGTACTAGACTTTAGGCGTGATTCTGTCATAGACAGGATTCTATTATGTATCGATTATTACTTGAGAGATACCTGAGAGATATCTCAGGGATATCCCCTCCTCCCCCCGCTGAGTGAAAGCGAATCAAGTTAATGATTTGTCAAAGTCTATATTAAAGGCGCGGAAATTATCAGGCTGAAACAGATATTTTATCTTCTTAAACAGAATAATTTCCTAGGCTGAATTTATGCCGAAGTGATGTCTCGTTGAAAATTCTAGGCGCTACTTTAGAAGATTTTTAAAATTTATCGGAAAATTAAAAAAATAAACGCATATATATATACTTTCATTCTTAATTCAATAACTTCGACCTCTATGAATTGGGTCTTATAAATTACAGATTTTTGATCGATTTAAGAAATATTCGAAAAAATTGTTTCAAAAACCTAGGATTTTAAAGACATTGCTTTGAAAATTATTAAACGACAAACTTGGTTTGCAAGTTTTTATCGCTATGTAAAATGTATACGAAAAATTTATTATTAATAATTAAATGTAATATTTACACATGTTGGCACGATAGATAAATGATTTGTTTCACAACAAAGAGATTTTTTTCAGCGATCTCTCGCAGTCGCAACGACAAGTAGCGATGATCTCCGAGATGGTTCATAGCGCTTCTTTATTGCACGACGATGTGATCGACCAGTCAGACATCCGTCGTGGCAAACCTTCAGTCAATGCTGTCTGGAGTCAAAAGAAGGTAAGCTATAACCCATTTTCCGATTTTCAAAAATGATCGACGTGGCTCTCTACACGGCACATTTATCGATTTCTCGGAATTGGTGTCTCTTCTCGTTTCGTTAATATAAAATATCGAAGATACAAAATCTAATAATATATATTTAAGTATATAAATATATGTAAAAAAAATATGAAAAATTATTTCGCATCAAAAAATCATCGAAAGTGACTATTACGCGATGGTTAGCGGTGCGACGGCGATGGAAACTCAAACTCTCTCTCTAAAATAGCGAGGGAAGAAAGAGGCTAATGCGATTCATGACCAAGCGCCGGCTTTTGCTTTCTATATTGGGAACCGGAAGCGGATCTTGGCTCGCGCGTGTGTTCGTTGTAAATGTGGAAAATTCGGTGGTACCGGCGGCGCGGCGCGGCGGCGCGATAGGAAAATTGATCAAGTGCTATCCGTAGGGTACTAAACGATGTAAAACTATTTCGAAAGCGGCTACTGTTCGCGAGTCAGGCTGGCACGCTGAAGTTACATGTATTAGAAATCGACAGTTGGAACGCGACGGTGGGCGCGCGACGCGTGCGACACGATCGAAAAACTCAACTCTCAAACGCACGATTAACATGCGGCGTGTATACTTTCGCAATCGCTCGAATTTCATTCGCGCTTTTCCATTACTGGCTGCGAGAGACATTTTCTAGCGCTTATTAATTAGCTTTCGATCGGCGTCGCGAATGATTGAGTTGCAATTACCATCGACATTCATTACACAAGTGCGTAGTATATGCCGCTGGTGAGTGAAATGAAAGCGCGATGGGACTGCGCTAGGTCAAGAACGTGCGAACCTATTGATCAGTGATCGTTACTTTTTCTTCCTCTCTCCTTCCCCTTTCATGCACATTTTGTTTATTTGTCTGGAGCACGGTTGTATACAACCGTGGTCTGGAGTGTTAGCGACTTCGGAATTAAAAAAATTTTAAACTGCCGATGCTCTAAATTCTCGAAGACATCAGTCATTCCATAGAATACGTAATCATATAATATATTTATAATGATATTAATGAATAACAATTTAAAAGATTAACGTGAAAGGAATAATCGACAAAACGCTCAGTTCTCGTTTGGTTTCGTTTTGATCGATTTTTAGTTAAAAAATTTGAACTTTAAATCTTAAAACAAGCATTCTCGGAATAAAGTTTACTTGTTGAACTTTAAGTTTAGCAATACAACATTAATACATTGTACATACAGCGTTAAGTAAAAGAACATAAACATTCTATAAACAGTGTCGCAGGTCACGGAAGCGTCACCTCTCATTTTTCCGCTTATATCGATCTTGCGACATTTTGCAACAAAATTTGTCGCTTTAATGTCACTAACTCGACACTTGTTCGCATATTGTAGATATGTGTCGCGCGATAACGCGAATCGCAGTCGTAAGCTGCCGTTGTGAAACGCAATGACAAGCTTATAACTATCTGTGACTCTAAAGCCAAACTATATTTCTAAAGATTATCAGACACTCCTTGAATTTTATTCCTTAGATCGCAAATGCATAATCGATGAGACGCGAGTCAGGTATTAGTTTTGCGATAAAAAAGTCTTATATAAAAGTCAAGGACTTAAAAGAATAAACACGTTATTGTTATTTCTTGTAATTGTCTAATTGGCGACATTATTAGAGACGAGGCATTGAGATAATACAGCCGTGAGAATCAAGTCAGGCGGAGTAAAAATTAATAAATGTAAACATACAATGCGGCGCGTTGCAATTCGTATGATGGGTCCTGATGAATAGCACGTGCAAATATTACGAGGAAGCTTCAAAAGTGTTACAACCTTGACGCGCGTGATGGAATTAGCGCCGTTCAGAGAAATGGAAAGCCCATCAACCGATGGTCACGAAAGTTGTCCCGACGTTGTTTCTTCGGTGCATCAGCTGCGAGGACAGCGCAGATGTTGAACCGGTGAATTGTGTAACAGCCTCTCGCATTAACGTACCGCTAATCGTGAGAACTCCTGCTGTAGTATATATAATAATTATCTTCGCGTCACACCTACGAGTAACAGGATTGCGTGATGAAGGTGGCTCGGATGTAAGCCATTGAGTCAGGTGTGAAATTCGAAAATAATCACTGCAAATCGGAATACATCTGAAATAAAGTAGGAGACGAGCGCGATCTTTTTCGTCTGGCGTTGCAGATTACATCAAAAGTATAATATTAAATATCGTAATGAAACTTAGGAGAGTAATATTAGATGTATTAATATAAGATATTGAGAGAGTATTTTGTTTTCCATTTGTTTATATATTCGATATATTTTATAGCGTGATCGGTAAGTCACGCCACTTGAAGTGCGCGTTGCTGGTTGCTGGCCTTCGATTCTCGTTAAAACCTTACCGCGATGAGTGTTCTGCAACAGCGTCGTCCTGAAACACGATCGTAAATTGTTTCCCGGAGATAGCATTAGCCGGAATTAATGAGTCCCGCAGGTGGACCGCTGCTTTCAACGTTAATTCATGTTTGTTTAGCGGAACCCGTCGCCTCGCGTCGTGTAATTGCAAGAAAGTGTCGCCGGTACACGCAGCGCGCGCTATTCCTGGAGGGAAAACCCTACCAGGCGTACGTTCTTTCGGTTATCGTGGCTAAGATGCGTGAAAATAAGGCGGCGCATCGCCGTTGCCGGATGTGAAACTCGAAATTACGAGCCATCCGTTAAGTCACTCATCGACTTAGCCATTGTCGCACGAAATGATCTTCCGTCAGTCGCTCTACCCGAACGAAACATTGTCCAAGATGAAAAGGATGTCCGGAAGCTTTTTGCGCCTCTTTCTTTCCTTACGGACTTTTTCTGTGTTCGAAATAAATGTTGCCATACCGCAAATTTATAGGTCTTTGAGTAATTAACAGTCAAGTAAATAATGAGTTTATATACGTAAAAAAATATATTGGATAAAATCATGTTCTTTACTCAACAATGAAATATAAATATTCTGTAAAACGTTTTACAGTGTCGTACTTTTCGAAGGTATTTATCGTATAAAACGATAGCTTCATAAGTTTGAAATAGAATGCAGAAACGTTTCAGGCGTTTCACGAAGATAAGTTAGAGTTGGACAGAAAAAAAAAAGATAGAAAGCGCGACAATGTATCTTAATTTTAGAACTCGATGTGTGAGGAAATTTAGAAATCAACGTGCGACATAAAAAGCCACGGTTATTAAGAGTCGTCGAGATGTTGCGGTTTTGGCGCGTCGCTCGTTATAAACGATGTGTTCATCAACAATTTTCCCATCAACGGATCCACTGACCGCAGAGTGATAGATCGCAACTGAATGCGCGGTATACACTTAATGAAACTTACATTCGACATTGTGTATCCGATCTATCGTGCGATGTTAAATTTCTAACATTATATCGACTTGAATCTCGATAGCTTTCCATCGGCATATCATGCGCGTCTGAATGCTTTTACAGGCTACAAGTTAAATAAGATATATCGTTTTAATATGGTAAATAGCGACCGATACGTACGTAATATCGCTTAGAATAAATAAATATTGATATTTTTGGTCATTGGGCGAAATCTTATGCACAATAATAATACTACAGTGTTTTTGTTCATGATCAATCAAAAAATTGTTTCCTATTGTTTTTGTTGTTCTGAATACGAATATACCAATCAAAAAATTCCTACACATCTACAGATGCCTCTATTGCAATTTCGAAGTTTTGCAATAAATAATAAAGTGCCAAAATTTCAGGAAAAGAAGTAACAGTATAAAAAAGTTAAAGAATGCAATATTTTATGTTTGCCTTATTTATAATTTAAAAGATATTACAAATGTTTTGTATGATCTTTTGTCTCTTGTGTAAGCTGTTGGGTCTGTTTCTCTTAGAAAATACCAGCAATAATCACCCATCATGTTTTCGTTCTACCATTCTTGATAACAAATCTCCACACTGATAAGCCTCCATAATTCTACTAGTCATCATTCAATTGTATTGTCAATATAGTCTAAGATGTTTTAAATACATTTCAATTTTTACTTTAATATGACAATTATTTTATACTTAAGAAAAAATTAAATTAGATGTGGTGGATATTTTGTTCCTTCAAATGTATGTACGTGTGGACCCGAATCTTTAAATATTTATGGTACTTATTGACTGAGCAAAAACAAAATAAAAATTTGTAAACTACCGTAATTATTGCGGATTTTATATTTTGTCTTTAAACTCTTGAGCCACGCTTCGATTACTATTCGCAGTCTTGAAACGCAGAAGAATTTATCGTCATACTGGATAATATATAATAATATAAAAGATGAACTTCTCTTAAAGTTTAAATTAAAAAGAAATTAGATACAGAATTGAACACGCGCGAATCCAAGTCACGTAACGCCTTCTCGAAGGTATTTGGCGCCGATTTGAAGAATGTCCAGTGAAAGGAAACTCAGATTATAATCGCGGAGAACTTGCGTCAATTTTGTTGACGGCAAATTAACATAATGAGCAACGGCGCGAAGCGGTTTCGTGAAATCAAAATTTCGCGTCGCTCTTCGTGTGTTTAGACATCGGCAGAAAGTGATGATTTAGTCGTTATAAAATTGAAGACAATGTAATTACTCTGTGTGTGCTTGTTCTGTAATATATCAAATTGCTATAATCGGAAAATGTTACATAATTTTGACACTCAAAGATATTTCACGTACGTAAACACGACCCAGAAATTAAAAAAATGTAGCATGCAAATTTTCATTATCTTGATGTGAAATAAAAATCGGTATCACGGCTGAATTAAGGCTGTTTTGCATCATTATTCCTATGCTATAACACTATTGTATGAAACGACAAAACTGGACATGACCACGATCAAGCAGAATACAATACAACTCGGAAACTAATTGCTATTCTTATCTGATAAGACGACAGAGTCTTTCTTAAGTGATTATTTTGTTCCTAGGTGGCTATGGCAGGAAATTACATCTTATCAGTCGCCTGCATGATGCTCTCCAGAATCCAAAATGACGATGTGACCATTACCATTAGTCAGGTAAATTATTTGATTGTGCTCAACTCAATTTTTCAAATCTATTGTTTCTGTTTGACGACGGAATTGGAACTTTGATTGTAGAATTTTCAATTTGTAATCGATCCTTAACGAGAATTTAATATCTTTAACTGACTCGCGATGTAATTATTATAATGTTATTTAAGTTTTTATGGTTTTATGCTATCTCAAAATAAAGACACAATTGACAAATTAAGACAATATAAAGAAGACAATTTAAACATAATAGCATGTTAAATAGAGCATTTAATTAAAGTACGTTGCGCTACTTTGTAGATTGTCTCTGACTTGGTACAAGGCGAATTTATGCAGCTTGGTTCCAAAGAAACGGAAAACGAGAGGTTCGCGCACTATCTTACGAAGACATATCGAAAAACAGCGAGCTTAATTGCCAATTGCGTTAAAGCGGTGAGTCTACATTAACAATCGCCCGTACAAAGTCGCCGTCTATTATTTCTTTGAAACCTGTAAATGATTGTTGATTACTATCTTAGGCCGCCATTCTTTCCGAAGTCGATGACCGCACGATAGAGATGGCCTATCAATATGGCAGGAATGTTGGCCTGGCTTTCCAGTTGGTAGACGATCTTCTGGATTTTGTGGCTTCTTCAACGGCTATGGGCAAGCCCACAGCCGCTGACCTCAGACTCGGACTAGCCACAGCCCCGGTACTCTTTGCTTGCGAACGGGTTAGTATGCGAATGCGAAACATTCGATGAATCGTGATACAACCGAGAAATCTTTTTATTAGTAGTATTACGATGTAAGCCTTTTTCATAGACACGATCCTAATCAGTATTGTTACTTCGGCTGTTACAGTATCCAGAATTAAATGTGATGATAATGCGCCGTTTCCAAGAGCCTGGAGATGTTGAGAGAGCTTTTGAACTGGTGCACGAATCCAACGGTCTCGAACAGACCAGATTTTTGGCGAAAAAGCACTGCGCAGAAGCAAGCAAAATCGCGCAGTCCTTTGCTAAGAGTCCTTATCAGAGGGCACTGATCATTATGACAGATCTGGTCATCAACCGCATGAAATAGCATCGCGACGAACGCAGAATTAGAAGGCGGGAGATCGATTTTATAAATATTTATAAGTTATACTGGACGGAAACGGCTAGTATAATTCTCTCGAATTCTATCAATCGAATGCAGGAGTCGTGTCGAAAAAAGTTTTTTATACTCAATGTTACACCATTAGTCGAAATTATATATTGTTATATATAATTTAATATGCTCGAGGATTTTTATAAAACGTAATCAAATAAGGAGATTGATATTATCACTATAATTTATGATGGTGTAACATTGATACTTGATTGATAACATTAGCGTATGACGTAAATACGCATTGACGAATCTGAATTCATACCTCATCCGTAGGAAAAATGAAGAAGGCATCCCAAGCCCCGTAACGTATTCACTAAGGTGCTTCTGCCTTTTTCAGACGACTTTGTCAATACATGGGTTTAAATCTGAAAAAATGCAGAAATTGCGCTTTATAACAGTGCCTAGGCATTACGTTTACTTGGCCTGTGTGTAAGGAAAAGAGCACGTATTACCTGATTTTATAAATCGTTAGCCGATCATGTAAATAAAATAATCTAGCGTTAGTAATAATGTATTAGCATCGATAATCCTTTCTATAATGTCTCTTTTATGCATGCATCTTTCATGCGTCATGATACAATTATACTGCTGTCGGATCCCAAAATGAAAATAATGCATAAAGCCAAATCGTCCTATCTTGAAAACGTTTACCTATTACCTAAATGTATTTATTGTACCTAATGATAATTATTGTATCGCGACACGTCAGAAAAATTGCTTGCATCAAAGGAGGTTTAATGAGAATTTACTATAGCATGACAAAAGCAAAGTGAAAATTGAAAAAACATACATATATATAAGAATGACAGACGTACAGAATTATAACGTTATAATAAGATATCTTCGGTCTTTATCACGACCGATTGAACCCAATGGATACATATTTTTGATAAAGTGAAGCCCAACTTTTATCGCAGTAAACTTGTAAAAATAAGTAATAAGGGATGCCAATACTAATTTTTACCGACAGCTCATTTTAAATAAAATAATTGTTAAAAGCGGCATAAAGGATATTTGCCAAAGAAGACAAATTGCTCTTTCTTTTCTTTTCAGCCAGGGAGATTAACAAAAGTTAACTTTGATTTATCGTATAATTGATAAGAATTATCTGCCTCTTTAAGTTTTAGGATGCGAATATCATCGAAATTCACAATGAGGAGAAAAATAAAAGTGTCTTTTCTTATTTGGGCATTGTCCAATAAGAATAGAATCACTTTTGCTTAATAGGTGAACTGCTCAAAGTATCAATATTACTAGATATGTAAGTATAAATATCTAGTGTACAATAATTTATATTTATGAGAATGTATATAATTGTTTAAAATGTTACACAACACAATAGAACATTAACTAAGAAACAAGTATGTAATTATGATCAAATGTAGACTTATAATAGAATAAGTATATAATGCAAAGAAAGACGCAACCGGAACTGTCGATCTCCTCCATACGTTTTGCAATATTTATTTAAATCATGTAAGAAAAAAAATGTATAAAAGTTTATTCCAAGATATGTTTATATTCAAAGAGGCACAAAAAAGTCATAATAAGATACAAGCTATGTGATGAAGGATACGCCGAGCCGACGAATACAACTTAAATGAAATTAATACGTATAATTTCATATAAATACAATTAGTTTAGTCTAATTGTTAAATATTTATCCGTTTATTCTCTTACGTCTTCAAGAATTGAAAAACATTTATTGGTATATACATTTGTTAGAAAATTAGTATAAAGTTCAATTTTAATACAGAAATTCCAAAGAAAGCAGATCTGATAAATTTGAATCCGATAGAACTAATTGCTGATCCGCACATCTTTCACAAATCGTCCATATTATCTCAGTGTTCATACAAGTTGTTAATTTGGAAAAAGTAGTGACATAAGTACAAATTCAAAAATGCACTATGCTAATTTATAATAATATCTGATAGAAATTTTTATATAAAATCTGCATATAAAATCACATACAAAATCTGCACTATTTTTTAAGTAAGTGCCTCATATATCAAATAAAGTTGTTGATGACTTGACAAAATATTATCTTTTGAAGATATTTTAAATATTTATTAGTCTGTTTTTCTGTTTCATTTTTTTAAAAAATCTATATTGTATTTGAGTCAATAAGTGTTTTTGTAGATTTTGAATTTTTCTAGGGGCTTGATAAAATGATAAACAATAACCTGATCTTGGATTCCTTATTGAAAAATAAATGTACTATATTAATTAAGATTTTTAGATTTTCAATATGTGTTCATAGCAAGAACATGGTACAATATACTATTCTCACACCGTAATTGTTATAACGTTGGTTGATTAACTACTTTATTGTAAAACCTTAATGTAAGTTCAATTATTGTGTTGGGGATCATTAAATTCGAGTATATAAGTTTTTTAAATACAAATATATGAAATTAAAATATATATATCTTTTCAAACATGCATACCACCGGTTGTTTGAAAATTCAATATATTTTCCTGATTCACAAATATTCCTCGATCATTTGTATTAAGTTTTATATTTATATCGAATTACCTTTTGTATATAAAAAATAATGCCATCTAAAAATCAATTTTTAAAATATTTTATATTTTACTCTGGCCCCTATTCTGATCGGCTTTACCCCTTGATATCTTTAGGCATAAAATAATAAGAACAGATTGATAAAAATAACAGCGTCTAAAAAAGGATTAGGTACAATTTGCAGTATGCAATCGGAATATTAATTTTAAAACACTTATCAAGTATAATAAAACCGTGATATATGGTTGAATATATTTATTATGATATACCGAAAACGTTATATATAGTTTTGGATTATTCCTAAAAAACATAAAATCGCGATTGTACGTGAAATAGAACAGAACTGAAATCGAGAACATATGTTACTTACCGAGAATGACAATATTTATATGCTAAGTTACGGAGTTCAAGGTGCATGTCTGCGTGGACGTGGAGGCGTCTTTTTAAATTTTTTAAATAGACGGAATAGGCCTCGTCCGAACGAGTGACGCGACCCCTTTCGAGTTTCTCCGGGGCTCGGGCCGATGTCACTCGAACAGCTCGGAGTACTTGCCAGAGTTGCCAGCGAGTTTTAGGTTAGTTGGACGTCGGCGAGACCGGTTGAGAGCGCGGTGTGTCCGACGTGTGCCACTGATCAGCTGCGAACCGCTTAACCCGGCTTAACCGCTTTCGTCGAGGGCATCGCGCTCCAACGAGGAAACGAACGGTCGAGCAGTTAAATGACAAGCGATCATGGCAACGCCCACCTGTGATAAGAAAGCGAGGGTGATCGTTCTAGGAGGTGAGGTATCTCGCTGTATATCTATGCGCGCCGGGCCGGCCGCGCGCGGAGCGGAAGAGCGATAAGGGACCGACCGGCAGACCTTTATCCGTTCCGTTTGCGGTTTGCAGGATGCGGTTTCATCGGCCGCAACCTCGTGGAATATTTGCTGGACAACGATCTGGTATCCTACGTGCGGGTCGTGGACAAGGTACCGCCGCAGACGGCGTGGCTCAACGCGAAGCACCAACGGGTGTTCGAGCACCCTCTGCTCGAGTTCAAAAGCGCCAACTTGATTAACATAGGTAATGTCTAATTAAAGGTAAACGCGTAAACCCAAACCAAAGAACGCATCGAAGAACGGGAATCTTATTGATTGCAGCTGTAAAATTTAAAGATAAAGGATTTTTCAGGTCCTAATACCTGTGAGAACAAGAGTTGACTTTTCCTTTTTTATATTTATCATTTTACTTGTTCTCTATATTTAATAAGATTAATCACTGATACGCCTCATGCAGTCATGTAAAAACTATGATGTAGACATTGTAGTCTGTAATGTGTAAAGGGATTTTCATTTTTGTTGACCCACCGAAGTATCCTGCCAAAACGCGTTTTCCTCTGACGAGCCTATCGATTATGTGTTCAATTGCGCCGGGGAAACAAAGAGTGGTCTCACAGATCCAGTGTATAAAGAGGGTATTTACAAATTGAGCCTAAACTGTGCCCAGCAAGCGGCCAAGATTGGAGCCCTGCGTTATGTGGAGATATCTTCTGGCAATCTTAGCACCTCCGACAAGGTATCCCTCTAAATGACGTATACTTTAACGCAAATATGGATTTAGGATTGATCATTGTGCAATGTCGCGTAGACTCCTCACAAGGAGGACGATGCTGGAGAACCGTGGACGTTTGTTTCAAAATACAAGTTACAAGTGGAACACGAATTGAAGAATATACCAGATTTGAAATACACCATACTCAGACCGGCCATCGTGTACGGTTGCGGTGACAGAAACGGCCTAGGTAATCTCCTAAAGTATAAATTTCTCTCACAGTTCATCTCATTACCGAGAAAGCTGCTCCTTCCTTCTAACTAAAAAAACAAAAGGCAAAAGAGTATACCTTGGCAATTTACAGCACCAAGATTAGTAGTGGGCGCAGTTTACAAGCATTTAGGTGAGATGATGAAGTTGCTCTGGGGACCGGATCTTCATATGAATACGGTTCACGTGAGGGATGTTGCCAGAGCTATCTGGCATGTAGCTAACAGACCAGAAACAATAGGCCAGACGTATAATCTCGTGGACGAGGGAGATTCTACTCAAGGTTCTATTAGTGCCATAGTCTCGGAATTGTTTAATATCAATCATGATTACTGGGGCACTGCGCTGTCTACACTAGCTAAAGTACGCAGAACTATTCTATTGTTCTTAGTATGTTGTGTGTGTGTATATATGTATATATTTATCAGTTTCAGTCTAAAAGTGCATTATGACGCCCAAGAAAAATTATTAAAATTTTAAAAAGATTTTTATTATCGAATAAATCTTTTATTTTGCAGACCGATATGAGCTCAGTTGTCGAAGAGGTAAACGACAAGCACATGACCCCTTGGGCGGAAGTTTGTCGCAAAGATGGGGTGGAGAACAGTCCTCTATCTCCATACATAGATCAAGAACTTCTGTACAATAAGCACTTGTACTTACAGCCTGGAAAGCTGTCAAACACCACGGGATTTACGTACCTGTATCCTAAATTAACGAAAGACGCTCTTACAGAGGTAAATTTTCGTTCGTTTCCACGAGCCAGTCTCGAAGAGAAAACGCACATAATACGTAAAGATGAGATGTTCACGGATTTACAGGTACTTAATGATTATGTAAGCATGAGGATCTTCCCGCATTCTTTGGTCCTGTGAACTTAGCAATACCAACTGCCGAATTTGAATATCGATTCTCTTTTACACGAGGATGCTACGAATACCAGAATACACACGGACGCCGAGCGTCATTTCACCTTGTGCCTAGAAGGGTTCTATACAAGTTATATATATTCTATTATACACGTTATACATCTTTACTTGACGTTTTATACGTCAACAAATAATACTAAATGAGTTTTATAGAGAAGTGGATATGAAATTCGAATATTTCGTAGGCGGCCTATTGCCAATGTGATAAACTAGCAATTAATGTACTTAATTTTATCATAGTTCTGGAAGCACAGGACTTTTTCGCACCTTAAAGATGGCTAGTCAAACAGTGACGTTTAAGAATGATTCGATACAATGTTCTTATACACAAAAAGACGCAGTCATATGTATAGGGATACCTAAATTCAAGACGTTCGTAGTCTGAATTAATTTCCATGAATATTTTAGAGGATCATTGATTGAAAAGAACGCTTTTTATATACCATTTTTTCAAGACTGTACCAATAAAGTTGTTGGAGATCTATATACTTCTAATATTGCTAGAGATACATAACAAGAGTTCTTTTTATATCTGCTACATTCCAAGATGTACATCTTCCACGATGCTGTGAATCAAGTTGAAAAGTCTTTCTATTGAACAATTGTTATACGCATAATTTTATTGTCGATAACTCGAATATGTACGCGCGACCTAAAGGATTGTATTAAATTAAGTACAAACACTGTTGGAGGTGCGTTTAGATATTCCTATAGAGAACATTCCTTATCGATATGTGAATGATTCTTCATATTGCTAGATTTACTGCGCGTTTGCACGGTATATACTTAATATAAAACAAGAAAGAGTTATTACATTCTATTGGCCTTGAACGGCTCATAAAGATATTAGTAAATATTAAGTGTATCACACTTTCGATATTCTGTTGTTACGTGGACGTTCCTGCAGATTCTTTGATAATAAAGTTGCTCCATTTACGAAATCGCATTAACTTACTGTACCCTGTAAAACCCACCAAATTCTTCGTGCTGCGAAAGGGATATACTTCTTTTTACAGTTTTACACCAAATGTGCATTTGTACACTGTCTTAATTTTATTGAATCAGTGGTTACAACAAGACGACGTGTTCAAGAAGGGTCAACAGTATTATTAAATATTTAGTGTATTTAGTCTTAATATACTTCAAACAATAAGATTATAATTTCATGTAGTTCATTATACGTAATATATTAAAATATATATTTTAATGTTCTTCGCAGGTAATATAATATGTATATACAATCGCAGGTAAAAGTATGTACAAAGTAACTGCACCCTAAAGAATAATTGTCGCATCGAGATAATAGATCTAAATCGGAAAGAAAGGCGAAATGAGGACTTGCGGAAAATAAATTAAATAGTCTTCTTAATATATAATAATTATTATAATTAACGGTAATAGTATAAATGAATAAAATTACTGGATTCTCTTCTCCCTTATATATTAGATGTAAAATAAAGTGTAATGTGTCTCTCGCGCGGCTATTATATATACATATACTGATGTGCTGCACACACGCAATATATGTATATACATATATATGTGTATATATAATATATATGTATATATATTGTATACACGCGCGCGTGCGTATATATCCACCGGGCGTGAAAATATAATCTTTGAGGTAAACTGCATTAAAAAAAAAAAAATTGTAAACAATAGTCTAATAGGTACCGACGTTAAGTTAAAATTAAGTAATGTAAATCACTCTGTGCTCAGAGTGACAATTACGGAGGTATATTCGTTCGACTAGAGCCGCCGTACAATACAATCAATACTTGCTACTGTGTATTTAACGCTACAGTCTGTCTGATAAATTATAAGGAATGTGTATACGCATGTGTGTATGCGTGTGTTAATATTATAAACGGAGTGACCGAGTGTGGGTCTTGCACGGATTTCATTTATAGGCGCGATTTAAAAAGACGATTAAAAAACGTTCTCTTTGGCTGCCGCACATCGCAGGTATTCCTAAATTAAAATAAGCGAAAATAATGCGCAAGTATGGAGTAGCTGATAATTGTTAACGGAGGTCCACGACGACGATTATCGTGTCTCCGGTTCGTGTCGTTCGGTAAATCATGACAATTGATTTGATGATCGATGAATGCGGTGATAAGTAGATTATGATCTATGATATAATTTGTCACTTTTCCGACGCGTTCGCGCACGCGGTAAGATACGAGGTACGCTAAGACGCGAGATGATGCTTATTGCTTTTGTAAGTATGTACTATAAGGTAATGTTATCTTCGTGGACTTTGTACATATATACGGGATGCGTCGCGTAAAGCCCTGCAGGCTGATCTCCTCTCGCGAGGGGATCCTCTCGCCTGCGGCCGCTTGACGCGAGGCGCTCTCGTTGAAAAATTCGCGATTTGACTCTCCTGAACGGCGACTCTATAGTCAATTGTTCACGACGTAAAACTTATCACATCCACGAAATTATTCAAGAGCACTATGGTATGCATGTTACGGAGTGTTTGTCGTTTCAATTAAATTACTGATTGCTGTTGGCGTTTTCGTTCGCCGCTGCGGCTACCTCTTTATCTCTCTTTCTCTCTTTGTAATACGATATCCCGTTACGATACCGCGGATATGGAGTCGGGAATACAGCAGCAGAATTGTACATGCGATCGGAGTGGACATACGTTACAGCTAAGAAAAGTCTAATACGTTACGCTACTTAAACGTAAGAAATGGGATGAGGACAGTAAGCGTAAACTCATTCTCTCACGAAACTCATACAACTGCCAGTTTATATCCGAGAGGCTTGCGTCCACGAGAAGTCCGGATTGCCGATACGGACAATCCTCTTAACTCTTCGAAACATTATTCTGATATTTACAATCGAGAATTTCTTTGAGTTAGCAATTAAATTACTGCATTTCTTCTAAGTAAGATTATTATAAATTTAGAGGAACAAACGATTAAGTTGTACGTTTAGGTTTAGATCTTTAGAAAGGACACACCCTTCATTTGGAAGTTCGAATTTAAATGACTGGATCATAAATTATAGAAGGCATAAGCTATACTCGATCGCGATCCTATTTAAGTCCATCCAAGTGCGAAGATTTCTGTTCGAAAATTCAAAACTCGAGTTCCGACATCGTGGACGCGAGCCTTAACATTATAGGAAAATAAAATAACTCGAAAAGCATTGCATACTTTCTGCTGCTTATACATATGTCACACAACGCACACCTCTCCTAAAATTCCCTTCTCAATTCTCTTTTTGATGTCCGAATTCATTTTTTTGATATAATTAACAACTCTCTCTCTCTCTCTCTTAAAATTATTCTCCCAAGTGCTTTCATTGTACGCTGCAAATATATATATATATATATATATACACAATATATATACTTTTGAAGCGCAGGAGTGTACAATAACGTGAAAATGTATCTTTCCGATGCAGAATATTAACAATACGTAATGAGTAATGACCAACTAAAGGAACAATCGGTTCAACGTCCTGCTCTTTCTCATTATTATACGGCAGCTTAGCTATCGTCAACGCTATAGAAGTGTGATTTTTCTAAAGTATACCATCAACAAATACAAAAGTACATGAAAAAGCATATGAACGTATATACCCTCAACAAATATGGAAATAATATAAAATGTAACAGGCATTACACATTATATATATATGACAACAAATGCAAAAACAGATTAAATAAAATCGTAAGCCAGATGCGTTGAATGCATGCAAACGCATTCGCAACAGGTAAGAGTTGTTGCTGCACAAAAAAAAAAGAAAAAGAAAGAAAGAACTGTTTAAGAATATATAAATTCAATATTTGTATATGCGATTCTATATATATGAGATTCTCATAATTATATTTATAATATACATATAACAAGTTCCATGTATTCATGTGTGTAAATAAAACGATTCTTTCTATTTCGTAGAACTGTATCTGACCTGTGTAAACTATATAGAGCTATTGTAATGCGATTTGCGAAGTCCAGTAAACGGAATAAGTAAATCATGGTGCACAGTTAATCAACTAAAATGTTCCCTGTATTGGACCTAAAGTATTGGCAATATAAACAGTGGGTATGTTCCCGAAATATCTCTCGAAATAAAACGAAGCTACTTTTGGAACAGTTTCAATATATTAGATTTCTAACAGACCTCTGGTTATGGAAATGCGGTAATATTCTATGGAATGAAGATATGATAGTCTTTTTTTAATATGTGCAGATCGAATTAATTCTAGCGTTAATTGTTTTCATATACTGTGCTCATGGTGACTATGTTATTGCATGATCCAGTGTAATGTGTTCATCTAAAGTATATACTGAATGTAAAATGCAATAAATAACAATTAGTGGAGGTACAGTAATAACATTGACATTTCTACGTCTCACTCTAAACGATATAGCTTATTCTATCAGGTACTGCGTTGGGTTGTTTTCTGTCATGGTAACATGCACCAGTCTGGAATATGTGTCTTGTAAGATTCGTCACGAATGCTGCTTCTTTCTTTTTTTGTGTAATACACAGAACTGCTTTACCAGTTAACACGCTAAATATCGTACATACAAAACGTTGACATTAATCGCATATCGATTACCTAATCGCCTTAAAAACGATATCAATCTTATGAACGGAAAGAAATCCGAGGAATATGTAAAATTCTTCTTACGTAACGCATTACGCAAAGTCTTTTCACGGAAACATTCTCCGACGAGGTTATCTGTTAATTATAAAAAATATCGTCTATTAATACAGCAGTCTTTGAGGTCTCTTATAGAAGTAAATAATTGTGAGAAAACAAGGTGGCCTGTTGCACGCCATTCATTTGAATCGCAATATTCTGAGCACTAGATTATCTTTCTGAATATTCCTTCCCATTCATAGGATCTCTCTTTTAAATTTAAAGTATGATATATCGATAGTCCACTTTAAACTAATACAAAACTTACATCAAATATTTTAAGAGCTACTCAACAAATCCTTCATTTGTCATGCACACTAGCTCCAAATGCAAAAAAAAAAAATTTTACTTTGATTCCTTGGAGAAATCAATTTTTTTTTTCGTAAAAGTGATACCTTAATGACACACATATGGTATGTTAAAATATAAAGAGAAAAATAGAAAAGAGAGGGAAAAAAATAGAAAAAAAACCACGGGATAAAAAATTTTCTTAACATCTCTAAAAACGCGTAGCATCTGGTTAGAGCCTTTCCCTGTTTTCTTAATACTAAACGTTCTTCCTTTGTTTACAATTAAATATCAGTGGAAAACTTATTTTGGAATGATCAGTGTCTCTGCTCCATTTTAAAGCAATCGCGTCAGCCCGAAAACTGTTATCAGAATGAATCAGAACTTTATCAACTTTTTTAGGCCATACTGTGCCTGGATATTCAGCAATTTTGTGTCCCCAAACGCGAAGGAATGCACGTCCGCATGTCTTTTTTGCTGCATTCGAAGTGTGATATTTTATGGACATATTCACAATCAACAATTATTCTATCTTATGTACAGAGGCATCAGAAACTTGTTGTTTTTCATTTCAGAGCATTTCGCGCATCTCTCAATTTTCGGCACGTCAACAGTTTACTTAATTTATATACGTATATATGTATACAAAATTATTCGACACGTTTGAGGATCGAAGAGTGATAAATTAAACACTCTTGAAGCAACAGCCTATGTTCAAAAACGTTTCATTTCGCTTCTAAATAGTCTCAATCAGAAACTAAATAACGGAATAATTTCGCTAGCAGTATTCAAATAGCGAATATCCTTTTATAAAACTTTAATATCAAAAATCTTTAACTGTACCTATATATTAATTCTCTTAAAAAATACTTAACTTTCGTCCTCAAACGATTTGGAATCATTCGGTATACATACACGAGTCCGGCAAACACTTCAAATGTCCGTCTACGTGATCGGTGCACTGTAATGCAATAAATTTTAGAATTGCGTTGCTTTCGCTGAGATGCTTATGCAGACGAGCTTTATTTTCCGCGCGATAAATGTATCTTGCTCGTATTTACAAGGTGACGACTAACGTCGTGATTTTTTTCCGAAACAGTATTATTTACATCGATTATGTGTCAGATAATTAATACTCTTGCTTTGCGAGGCTGCTGCAATTTTGCATTGCTTTTGCTTTCTCGGGACTGGACATCATTATTTTCTTTTTTCCGCGCGTTGATTCGGAACGTGACTGCGATCGATGACAGTCGTATCGATCGTAAAGAAGGAGGAAATAGGAGAATTCATGTACTCCTACCTGTTGTACCTTGATAACGCTGAGAAGCATTGAACACTTTAATAATGTATTGCCTAACGCACTTTCACCCATTTGGTCCGAGCGCCGGAACAGATGCACAGGTGGATTTCGGCGATGATAAAGTCTCACCGTCTGGACATCCTGAATTGTTATTTAAACTGCTAGCGCTACTGCCTAAAGTACAATTGACCATTGTGAGCTGCGTGCCTTCTAGATCTTGCTCCTCTTCCTCCTCCTGTTGATTATTCGAGGTAGAACTGCCCCTTCTTTTGTACTGCAATCATGAGAAATGGATAAATTATTTATTTATAGCGCATCTTCATTATCTTCTATGACAAAATATCAAAGCGTCCAACTATACCTGAGGATTCTCCATAATATGAACATCCTTCGAGCCTCCATTTATCTCCCACGGCGACAATAAGGGTTCTTTCGCGCAAATTTCGAAAACCCCGTTAGACTGTGCGCCCTTTAAAACACACGTCATATATTATCTCTTGTTCATATAAGTTCAATCTAATCAAATCTCCGTTTGATTACCTTCGCGTCCGAGTGCGGATTTGTCTCAATCGGTGACGATGGACACAGCACTGCCAATTCAATTTCATTCGGGGCATCGGTGGCATTCGCTTGTTGACCCGTGGAAGTGGAGGACTGCTCCGCGCAACATCCATTTCCGTTTCGCGATAGCACACATCTATTCGTAAGCTGAGCGTCGTTTCTCAATCGAGAATTCTCAAACTTTTTCCGACAATATATGCTGCAGAGGCATATCATGATAAATCCGATGCTTATGCTCACTCCGAGGATCACACCTATTTTTTGATAACGATAACGGTTAATAAAATGGTAAGTTAATGGTAAGCACAGTTAATTATCTAAATCTGCCGTTTCCCTCACCAAGACTCTGATCGGGCTTGGAGTTCGTCTCATTGCCCGACGGGGCAGGTACTTTCGACGTTCCGTTACTACCGTTACGACTAGTACCACCGGTAACAACCATAATAGGGTCTGACGGTTTCCCATAGCCAGCTTTCGTCGCTGCCAGCACCACAACGAAATATTGTTTCCCCGGCGCTAAACCTGGTAGGTTCGTTGTCCTTTTGTTACCGAGTACGGTCACGTTGTTCCATGTCGTCAAGTTCCATGTTGTCAAGTTCCATGTCACGTTTACGGTATATGCGACAATATAATTTTGTATAATGCCGTTTACGTTGCTCGGCTCCTCCCATGCAATTCGTACTTTCGTGGTGTTCTCCAGGAACCATTGTAACCCTTCGACTTTACCGGGAACTGTAACAATTCGTTTATTATAGTATGTTTTATAAGAAACCGATGTGCGGAGTGTTCTATTAAATAGTAACTATCTCACCATCTTCGTTTGTGTAGCATTCTATAGATTTGCTATAGAAGCTGGTCCGATTCGTATCGTGTCTAATGGCTTTTACTTTAAACTCATATAAAGTAAAAGGCTTCAGCTCGTCAACGCTTGTTTTTGTGTCATTTCTATAATATATATTTTACAAAGATTTAAAACTTTCGTCAGTGGATATTTTATGCATTCAATTACATTTATTTCAAAAAGATCGAGCCGTACTTACACGATAAAACATTTAGAATTGCTCGAATTTTGCACATGCACCGCATGATAACAAAACTCGAACGATGTTACGTCGTCCACATCAGACAATGTCCATGACACGTTAATGGACGTAGGCGAGACGGGAATAGCCTCCAATGCCATTGGCACAGTGTCTAAATTGCAAGATTATCACATATAATTGTCTGTTCTTCTATTCAGTGCGGATATAGTCTATGAAAATCTGATGAACTTACTAGGATCGGATTGTACGGTCTCTACGTGTTTCGTCAAACAGCCTGTGGCTTCACCCGAGCTTACCATGCACAGACGCATAGTATAAGAAACGTTCATATCTAGATAAAAATTGATTCCATTTGTAATTCATACAACATTCTATAACATTGTTGAAAAGTATCATTTTTAACACGGAATACCTACCAAGATCAGTAAACAGGTATTCAGTAATATTCTGTGGTAAATGAATATTCTTTAACTTCTCGCCATTTTGATTTTCACAATAAATTTGCCAAGAATCGAACATTGATTCAATTTGATCACTTTGCTTGAAGTTGATCTTCCATTTCATCTAATAACGGAACAAAGTTTAGGGAGCAATTCGGAAAACCATAACAATTTTGCAATTCGATCGATGGATGATATACCAACCCTGATTATTGAGGCGTTTACAATTAATACTTGAATATCCACAACATTCCTTATAGTAAACTGATTGGATTGATTGGAAGATGGCATGGTTACAGTAACCCAATCCAATTGTGCTTCACTAATATTTGGCTCGCCCTGCTTTGTTCTTGCCAATACTCGAAGATCATATCGCGCTCCAGGTTCCAGGCCTGTATCCGTAAATACACGATTGTATTATTGATTATTGCCCATGTACAGCTCAAAGAAAAAGAACAATGGATTAAAAATTATACCGGAAAGTATGTAATATTCATCGGAGGCAGGTAGATGATGTACCCATCTGGAGGATGAGCTCTGGTGGAGTTTCCATAATAGTTTATATTCCACCACATCGCCGCGAGACTCTTTTTTACTCAAAGGCTCCCACGATACATTTAGTTTTGTACTACTGATTATATCCACATTCATTTTTGGTGTGCCTTTAGGAACTAGAAATAAGATCGTTATTTCGAGTTAGTTGTTTTTTTTTTGTGTGTGTTACGGGAACAAAATTAATAAAAACAGATGGAAATACGTACCACTTGGAGCAGTGGAACACACAATGGTAGCTGATTGATCACTAGCACCAAAATTATTCCACACTCGTACATAGAACGAGTAATTTGTAAATGGTTCGAGAAGTTTTGTTACTTCTACAGACGTAGAATTCCCTGGTTCTGGCGGTGAAACTTCCTCCTTTCCACCTTCTGTCATTAAGGATATATAACAAATGTATAAATATGGATAATTGAAATAAAAACCTCTTAGATTTGTTCTTATACTTATCCCAAGACATCATCCAACTCACCTACGGGACTATAATGGACGGTATAAGCTGTAATACTGGTATATGGTACAGACTTTGGCGGTTCCCACGAAATTAAGATTTTAACTGGTGAAATAGCGTGACACTTCAGAGAAGTGGGTGTAGCGGGACTGTTGCGCGATGTATTTACTTGGAGCCGGCCAGCGGCCCAAATTTCACCCGCTGCATTCACCGCCACACATTGGTATATGCCAGAGTCAGACGGCACTGTTGCTGATATTGCTAATTCTATTTTATTGTATTCCTTAACGTAAGTTGTTCTGCGACCTATATCAACATACAGAATGCACAATTAATTGTAAGAGCAAACGAAAATTGTCGAACACGTCCTTTCTCGACAGATCATAAATTTGTCTCTAATATCATTACCATTGACAGTAATATTCGATGAATCTTTCAGCCAATAAATTTGAGGTACGGGTAACCCTTGCGCCTGACACTCGAATCTCGCTGTTCTTCCATTTGGACAGATTTGGTTTGTCGGCGTTTTTATAAATGACGGTGGTATTAATATATCTACAGTTACATTCTGCAATAATATATGCGCAATTTATATATAAACGTTAATTTACTGCTAAATTATCAATTACAATTTGTTGAGAGCAACCACTCACCTGTACTTCTAAGTCATTGGTGATAGAATTCTTTGAAGAACACAGGTAGACACCGGCATTGGAAACGTTCACGTTTGTTAATGACAGTATACTAATGCCGGTGGTGGAATTAAGAAGGATGCGAGGTTTTGTAATATTATCTACAAACAAATATGATCAAACATATTTAATTTTCTTGACTAACTAAATATGCATATCCTGCCTTTCAATTTTTTACCTATATAACGAGGAATAAAGGACCATGTTACAAGTGACGGATAACCGGATGCAGCACATGCCAAATTAAGATTCGACCCATTAAGCAGCCAATGATTGTACGAGACCTGTGGAAACAAGGACGATGGCGTATGCGTTTTGTTACTCTCTATTCTCGCGATAACCGTTAATTTTGCTTCTTTGCTCCTTTTGGTCTTTCTTAGAAATTCGTTAGTGACTATGCATCTGGAATACAGTAATTTCCATTTAGTTTGCAATAGAAAATTTAACGATATTAAATTAATAGATTAAAAAATAAAAGATTATACTGTACCTATATGAGCCAGCATCTGACAGTTTCGTTGCACTTATATACAGAACACCTGGTGGTACCACAGAATACTTTGATTCATTATGATAAGATAACAATGTTTCATTATGCTGCCACGTAATATTGGGTGGGAAAGGAACACTGTCAATCAAGCAAGATAACCTTGCGACTTCGCCTTCTTGAACAGTAATATTTTCTGGAGTTTCTTTAAATACATGGGCAAGTTCTGTAACACGTGACACTCGTTAGAACAATGATAAATCTAATTTCTAAACTCGCGTCCGAAAGAAGGGGCCGTTGCCCTCGTATATTTGCGAAGCATTTACCTGCTATTTGAATAATGGTGGGTGCTGACTGTATCGACCATCCTAAACTAGTACGTGTTCTACAACGATATTCATCTTTATTATGGTTTCTAGCATTAACAATATTATTCCTTTCCTTTTCTTTGAACTTTTGCATTTGTAAATTTTGTTTCTGCACCTAACACGTCAAATGTGTCAATATAATTTCTAAATATACATTATAATCTTAGAACGACAAATCCGAAAAAAAGCGTTACACAAGCACGTACCTTGTAAAAGTGAAGAGAGCCATTGGAAAGAAGAACACAGCGAGTAAGACCACACGGAGGTGCTGGTTCTCCATTGTGCAACCAAGTCACAGTCTCATTCGGACCAGCTATACAACTGAGCGTGATCCCCTTTTTTCCTAGTATCACATGGCCACTAGGTTGAATTTCCAGCGTTAATCCAGAGCCTTTAGTCAATCCAGCGTCAGAACCGTCTGGTTTGGACACGTTCCTACCACTGATATTTCCTCCGATACCTTTAACACCTGCCGAAACCAGGCAGTTTGCATATTACGACACCTTCATAGGATATAAATATCACATTTTGGGAATGTCTAATCTTATCCGACAACGTCGATATACAAATACGTAATCTTTTCTGTGAGAGTTAATATCTAGAATCTTTTAAACTTTGCAGTGATGACCGATCAGAGATTACATCACTGACAATATCGATTCCATGACAAAATCTTTATCAACTCTTTGAGCAATCAAACGTACATTTACATAGCACCTTAGCTGACTTATCATCATAATATAAACGTACATTGAATTTTGTGCCAAAATAGTAGATATTGCCATTTAATTTACATCCGACCTTGATACCATTACATATTATTTAATTGATTATTTAATCATTCATTTGTTGGAAATTGTTCTTAGTTTTATAATATTTTAGAAACGAGAGTTACAAATATCATTAAAACTGCTCAACGAGGTAAGAATGTACTTGAATTAGAAATGCGAGAAAGATACTTGAGGCGTGTGGTCGAAAAAAACACGAGTCTCCGCGACGTTTGCCATGCAAAACGCGTATCGCGCGAAAACAGTATCAGGTTTCTCTGCGATAACGCTAACTGCGCGTCTCGCTCTTTCTCCATCCCAGGGGGGGATAATTAATGGCAATTCATGCACCTCGAAGGTATACGAGGAACCGTCTCGAGAACGTCGACGATGCTCTGGGCCCATGTGCGTCTTAAATAAACCAGTAACATCGTCGCCCGGAACTCGAGGGACGGCTCGGGGGATGCCGGGGCCGTTTGGGGTGTCTCGCGCGAGGAACGTCATTTTCCCGGAAAAAAAAGAAAGACCGTAAACACGGAAGAAACGGAGCACGCACCTGCGGCGCAAGCTGGCTTCAGCACTTCCGTGATCAAGACGCTCAGCAAGAGTACTCGCGCCGCCATATATCCACGCTCATCGGCAACCGCGTACCGGTGCGTGCGTGCGTGCGTGTGTTTGTTGCGTGTACGCGCGCACGGTAGGGTGTGTATGTGTGTGTGTATACGTGCACGTGTGTATGTGTATGTGTGTGTGTTACGTGTGTTGTTTCACTGGTAGAGGAGCACGGCCGTGGTGCGCCGTCGTCGATTCTTCGTCGTCGTCTTCTTCGACTTCCTCGTCGTCGTCGTCGTCGCCGTCGGCACCGGCGCCGGCGCCGCTGTCGCGTTGCTGGCGCGCAAATTTCGTCGCCGCATGTTTGACATCGTCGGCCTCGTCGGAGCCGAGGAGGGAGAGAGAGAGAGAGAGAGAAAGATATCTCGCTGCCGCCGGCTGTTCCGTTCGCCGAGCTGCCGGAGCGCCCTTTCCTCCCTCCGCCCCCGCCCCACCTCACCGCACCACGCTGCTATGCCGCTTATTCGCGTGTGTGTATTGCGCGTTCACATCTCACATCGTCAACCGGCGCGCGGCGCGTGTTAACCGATCCGAGAGAGAGAGAGGATACGCGAGCGAACCGACGCGGCGAAAAACGAGAAACCACCGCACACCCGGCTCGGATCGCGGGATCGCGCGACTCCGAGCACCGTCGAGCACCGTCGCCGGGATGCGCCGGGAGACCGTGCCCGCACCACCGCCTTCGCCGGCGTAAGAATTCGTCGTAGCCAGTCGTAGCGCGTCCCGTCGTTTATTCAGCACGCGACACCGACACCCTCGTTCCTGCGCTTGCCATTGCTTGCCATCTTCTCTCGGGCGTCCTCGGCGTTTACCACCGCCTAGCAGCGCGCGAAGGAAGCTCGAAGCGGCAAGCGCCGCGGCTCGCGCAGCGCACGTGGGAAAGACCGGGTGACCGACGAATGCCATCTAAACCATTTGACGGTCACGAATATTTAATCGCGAAGTCATCTATTTTATCGACGAGATCTATCTTGTATACCTTTGTTCAATTCGTCAATAAATATTTAATCAATTAATGTCAATCTATCAATTTAGATTAACTTTAATCTTTCGGTTTAACTTACTTTTTATTTTTTTCCAGTCTAGCTTCTACAAAAAAGTTAATCTGCATTGGTAGAATGGATATAGCTTGTTAAATTCGATCGTAATTAATTGTTGTACAAGAAATGTCGCGATTTAAGAGAGAAGCTCAACAATGAAAACATATTAGTCACGAAAAGAAGTAAAAATCTCACTAACGTTCTTCGGAATGCAAATAAAATAAAAACGCGCTCTTTTGAAAAATAGTATGCAAAATTTGCTATTTTTCTTTATAAAAACAATCAAACGTGTTCTCCTTACATTAATTTATCTCATCAGTGAAAGATAAGTGTTTCACAAAATACTTCCTATTTTATACGTCAAAAAATGTTGGAATAAAATATAAAACGTCTTGCAACCTATTCAACCTACTCTCGTGTCTTTTCAGCCATTTCCAATAAGATAATCGAATCAGCAAGTACAAGAAATTTGTCTTGCACTCGAGTCAGATAAAAATGTTTCCGGCCTGCGGATAAAATCATTTTCCATAAACGCCCCGAGTAGGAATAAAAACGATCCTCTCGCTTTTTGCGAGTCGTTTGTATTCCGGTTTTTCCGTCATTTTTCTCGTCCGTTATCCAGCCGTACTTATATATATATTTCTCTACGATAGTAATCGCATGCGAGAGAAATCGCGCGATCGCCATGTACTCAGCTACATATATACACATGCACACCGCTCGCGGCTGTTTTGTATCTGCAGGGAATCACGGCATAAAGCAGAGTGCGTGTCGTCTACAATGTCGATGAGAACGACGGCGACGAGACGACCGATCGATCGAGGAATCGGCACTGGAACCGGTTTTTACTATGTTTACTCGACAATTTTCCGAGCGCGCCATCGCCCATGACCCTGGGCACCGGCTTTCTCTCGCGGGGAAAGTTTCCCCCCGGTACCGGAGGGGTTGGTCCCGGCCATCAATCGCGATGACGAGGGATTCCGTCGAGAAGCGGAACCCGCGCGAAAAAAAAAGCCCCACAAAAGACCAGACGATGACTCGAGAAGAAGAATCGAAGTCTTATTCGTCTCTCCGAGATTCGTTCCAATTCGTCCATTCTTCCCCCATTAATTCCCGTCCCGCTTCTCGCGAGCCGGTCGAAAGTAGCAGCCTGGTGAACCCTCGCTCATTGTTATATCTATCTCTCTCTCTTTCTTTTTTTATCAGGTCCTAGCTAAACCGACGTGGAACGGCGGTCGCGGCTTCTCGATGCAAATTAAGATAATCATGTCGAGAAGTGTATCGTGAGGAGTGTAAACAACCATTGTTCCCCTCGTTCTCGTTTGGAGAAAACGCCAGTTGACCGTTATTTCGCAGTCAGCCGTAATGACATGTCCGGCTCAATCCGCCTGTGCCTCCGGCGTATTCGCGAGCGGAGCTTGCACGAAATAGAAACCGTTGATTTCCGTCGTCGCCGAGTCCCCGCAGTCATGTACTGCATTGCAGTCATCGCCGTCATTGTCGACATTGTCGTCTCGCGCGCGCGTATAAGGGAAAGTCGCCCGTCCCCTATATACGCGCCCCCCCCCCCCCCCCCCCCCGTTCGGATCAGAGATTATCATGCTAGTAGGACGTTCTCTGATGACGTTTCGCTCCTGGCGAAATTGATTAACGCAACTTGTCAAGCTCATTGTCGATGTAGCACGATCGTAAAGCCAATTCGCGCCTCTCCACGGCCGGCAAATTGATCGAATATATCTATCGAGCGAGGTGATCAAGCGTTAGGTCGTTATTATTCCCTCGAGTCTCTTCACAGCGCTTTCATGGACTGTGAAATTGTACTATAATGACTCTCGCATCGATCATCCTTCAAGAAAATTACATGCTCAACGCGTGAAACTTATAATCGCCGGCTACAAAGTTGGAAATGTTCACCGTTTGTACGGAAACGATGATAAATTTTCTATATTAGGAGATCTATACCGTTTGGAGAAATATTACGATAAATCTTCTTCATTAGGGAACCCCAATAATCTTTATTTATCAAGAGATATTTTTTGCCAATTTTTATTATTGAATATGCGCGACGCAAGAAATTGACGCAAAGTTAATGCAAAAAATTGATCTA